TCATCTATATAGACTAATTGCTAAGGTCCTGGCTCGGAGATTGAGGGAGGTTTTGGACGGGATCATTTCGGATTCTCAAAATGCCCCGAAATGCCTTTGTTGGTGGTCGCCAAATACTTGATCCAGCCCTCATAGCGGGAGTGTGTGTTGATTCCATAATAAAGAGTTGAGTTCCAAGTGTTTTGTGTAAGTGGGAAATTGAGAAGGCATACGATCATGTTAGTTGGAGTTTTCTTCTGTATTTGGTGGAAAGAATGGGCTTTGGTGAGAGATGGAGGAAATGGATCGATTTCTACATTTCCAACGCTCGGTTCTCGATCCTAGTGAATGGAACAGCGACGGATTTTTTCGGTAGCTAGAAGGATTGAGACGGGGGGACCCACTTTCTCCTTTTATGTTCCTTTTGGTGATGGAAGCTCTAAGCAGAATGATGACAAGGGTTGTGGGCTTGGGCTTTTTGAGAGTATTCAGGGTGGGGAGGGATGTTGCCGGTTAAATGGAGATTTCTCATTTGATGTTTGCGAATGACATAAACTTTTGCATTTTTCAATGGCTCAGGATTGCTGGTCTCTATTTTTGGGCTTGTTAGGGTTCAGTGGGTTAAGTCCATATCTTCCAGAGGCTTGGTTAAGCTTGGAGAGGTTGTATAGTGGGGCCCCAAGCTCATGAGTTCTGGAGGGTTATGCCTTTGTGCATCTGGTGGTGACTTTGGCTTGAAAGAAATAGGAGATCCTTCGAAGAAAAGGAGAATCATATTGGGTCATTGAAATTCTCTATTCTAAGTACCCTTTTTGTTGGGTTCTAGGGAAAAATTGTAAATCCTTGGAGGAACTAGTTGTTTTTTTGGGACTCTTTGAGGGATATATATATTTTGATAAGTAAGAATTGTATTAAAAGCCTTCAAAAGGGGAACACGTCCCTCAAAAGCTACACAAGGCCAAAAAGGGCCTTAAGACTCTCAAAGAGTCCCAAAAAAACAACTAGTTCCTCCAATGATTTACAATTTTGCATAACAATTTCAAATGGGTTACAATACTTGATCCACACGAATTTTCTTACTAACCAAAGAAAAAAAAAAAAAAAAATCCAAAATCAACCACATGATATAACCAAAGAAAAAGACCCAAATTCCCAAATTCAAACACCAGACCCGAATTCCCTATGACACCAAATCAACCACCTGGTTTGTAATGTAATCAGCCATTGGTTTGGCAGCTTCCTTCTTCAGCTACTGAGAAAGGCAAACATGTTGAAAAACCCTCAACTACCACATGGATCGCAAGTCCAGAAAAAGCTAGGGTGTAAGGAGTCAAGAGTTAAAAATTCGGAGAGGTGTAAAAACAGAAGACCGTCGAAAGAGATGGAGATTTTAGAGGAGAGAAGTTGAATGCGGAGTTCATTTTGTTGCAACCTCTCTCGGAGACGAGTTTCGTAATGGACTTGCAGGGGGCGCTGCCGCCAAGGAAGAGATCGAGGATTAGACACCCAACAGGCACTTCTTTGTGATGAGGGGCTGTTGAATTTGTTTTTCAGATTTCTTATATATATATATATATACACACAGAGAGAGAGAGAGAGAGAATTGGGAGGCTTGTGGACTTTTCCTTTCATATTTCATTAGATAGATGAGAGAGAGAGACAATAGTTTGGTTCTTGGGATTATTAAAATGATTGAAGTCTCATCAATGGTAGTATAGTAATTTTCTAGCTTTATTTGAGGGCATTAAGTAAAACACTCAAATCCGTTAGTCCATTTGACGGTCCGTCAATAGTAGGGGAGGCCTATGTAACAAGGTTTTCTTTTTAGGGGAGGTCAAAAAAATTTGAAAACCACATGGGAGGTTCATGTAATTATGGTAAACCTCAAGGGAGGCCAATGTAATTTATCTAGAATGGTTTCATTATTTACCTTCATTAGATTCATTATACTATTACAAAAGTACTCTCCTAAACCCGTCCCCACCCCACCCCATTTAATAAATGGTTTTGAATGAGGATGAGGGTAGCAATGCTAAATGGGGATGAGAATGGGGTTGGGTCCCTCGCCCCAAACCCGTCCCAAACCCGTCCCATTGCCATCCCTATAAATGACCTTAGTTGTTTCTCATAATTTTTTTATAAAGCAATGTCAATCATAATATATATATATATATATATATATATATATATATATAATATGAGAACACATATTATTTTAAAATTTTATATAGAAACGTGTGTGTGTGTGTGTGTGTGTGTGTCAATTCTTATGCATATTTAGGTTTAAAAAAAACCTAAACTATTGCCCTTTTACAAATAACCCCCTTGAACTACACATTGCCCCCCTAAGTAATGATTTGTTGCAATTAAGGATAAACCCATCATAAAATGATATTTTACCCTTTCTTATTAAATTATTTTTAGTATCTTTTCTTTTATCAAAATATTAATTATACCATTTACCTTAATTTTATTGCTAGTATCAATTTATCATAAAAACGGAAAATAAATAAATAAAGTTGTAAGTACCATTTTCTAAAATGATTAACTTCCTATTAAAACTTTACTATTTATAATAAAACTTATTATACTCGGTTTAAACCTTTTTACTGAAAAAATACCTTCTTTTTCATACAATATATTCATGAAAAATTAATAAATTACCTAAATAAATAATACCATCTTTTCATACTACAATATATTCATGAAAATTTAAGAAATTACTTAAATTGTTTTAAAATTGTTACTTAAGATTTTTATTTAAACAATTAATTTCAAGAATTAAAGATAAATTTATGCAAATTTATTGGAGAATATGACATCAAATTAGTATGAATTTTTTTCATAAAAAGCAGGTTTCCTTCTTCTTCTTCCTTCTTGAACGAGAACAAAAAAAAAGTAAAATGCTTTAACCCTAAAGGGGACCTTAGAAACTTATTCAAGCAGAGTGGATGCTTGAATTTTTAAAAGAGAGTGTGTATGATGGGATGGGGTTGTGGGGTATTTATGGGTAGGGTTGAGCCATAAAGGCCGTTGGGTTTGTCCTATAAGCAATGTGGGATAATAGTGAGGTGAGTAGGATGGCCTTTTGAGAATTTGGGCAAACATGGTACTTTAGATGAACTCAATGGCGAGCGAACGTATGGAAATGAAGCATATTAACCTCTCATTAGACGTTCATGCTGCAATTTGCTTTGGTCACCTACATAAGGACAAACACTGTGATTCCCAACTTGTTAGTCTGGTATTAGGCTTCTAATTGACATTCCTTCATCTCGAAACAAGTGGTATTCTATCATAAATGGTATGGCCCCCCAAAGATTCTTTCACCTAACATAAGGCAAACATTCTCATTTTTTCAAAGGTCACAACCTGTAAGACAAGCATGAGGAATTGAATCTAAGGCCTATTTTGGGATGAAACGCATTAATCTTTATTTTCGTTTTTCAGGTAAGTCATGGGGCTTGGAAAGCTGGAAGCCGTACCTCGGCACCTTATACGAAACTTGATATAATTCATAAGGATCATCATAAGATCCAATTCACTTGATAACCTATGGGGGACCTATGTTGACTTATTGGTTTTAGAGGCTTGAATAATTAGATCACGTACTTTTTAACTCTTAAATTTGAATGATCATGAATTGAATATGACAAATAGAGCATCTAAATATACACGCATATAAAAATTGTTTTTTTTTTCCCGGTAAAATGGGCAAGTATTAAACATAAAGGAACTGTACATGAGCTCAAAAGGAACGACCAAGGCCTATGGCCAGTAAGTTGCATCAGCAGCATTAGTTGTTAAAGGCACGCCTAAGCTCTAAAAAAGCCCCAGGCTCGTCAAGGCTCAGCCAAAGCGCCTCAACCTACTACAAGCCAGGCCCCTTCAACCAAGCTCACATAAAGCCCTCAGGCTCAAGTTTTTTAATAGGCTCCAAGCTCAAAAAAGGCGTGCCTTGTATTTTTTTAATCATTTATTAATATCATTTTCTTGTTTACTAAATGACTACTAAATTAAAAGGTTCTATATCATATATTGTATAGTTTAACCATATGAAATATTTGACAGAATTCATAAATTTATGGTTCACTACTTACATTAACTGCAATTACTGCTTGATTATGAATATACATAATAATATATGTTTAAATATGCATTATTAGCTATGTGCCTTACTTCAATCAGGCTTGCGCCTTAGCCTTTCGCTTAGGCTCCAGAAGGCCTTTGGCGCCTTAGTGCGCCTTGAGCCTTTAACAACTATGTCAGCAACTATACAAAAGAATGCCCAGAAGGCTCAAGAAAAGGAAAAAGCATAGTAACAAAATGTTGCCACAAAAGCGAGAATGACATATAAAAATTGTTGCGCTGCCATCATATCATCTTTCAAGAACATAAGATATGTTCATGTCCTGTATGTCCATGCTTCATAGGAAGCCAATTTTCTGTACAGTACCGATCAGAATGGAACTGATATAGAATAATCTGCTGTTTAGACTGTCAATGATATTCTATTGAACGAATATCTATGTTTAACTGAACAGGACCAATAAAACATGATTACTAGCAGCAAAAATGAAATAAAACTCAACAAGATAAACAAAAGTTAACCATGTCAGTTAATAAGCCCATGTATTAACGCAATCAAGGAATGAATTCCACAAACTAAGACTGCAAAATGGTAAAAAATCAAACAAAATAACAATAATCAGCCCTTACAATCTAGCAACCAAATATAGAATCTCTACACTCCCATATATACGTACATATACGTACGTATAAGAGTATTTGTTTATGTGACTTGTCAAATTGAAGCCAAAACACAAGCAAGCTTGTAATGGCGAAATTTTCCCCCAAATACGTACCTAAATACATTTCCTGGAGTGTGTATTTGCCCCAAATAATCACAAGCACGCAAAATATTATACATTTAACACATACAACTATATGTTTCCAATTTCTTTGAAGAAATCAAACGCGATAGAGATTTCGGTTTGAAATTTAGGGATGAGAGAGTAGACCTGTTAGAGTGTAGAATATCTTTGGTGAGCAAAATGATGGGCTCGATGTCTCGGATAATCTCGTCCTCTTTATCTTTCCACTTCCGGTAATCAAGATCGTCCCACCCAGGGTATTTCGGTGGATCTTTGGTGCTCACGACTGCGGCGTTCTGGCTAGCAACGGATACATCCTCCTCCGGCAGAGGAGTCGACTCGGTGGCGGTGCAACACGGCCGACGAATTAAGATTCCGGCGGCGAGTCTGTGAGTTTGGAGTCGGAGTCGGACGAGTGGGATGGCTCTGAGAAGCAGAGGAGCCGCCATTGTTTGGGTGAAGAAGAAAAGAGAGAAAAAGGTACCGTGGGTTTGGAATTTTATTAGATACTACTCTTCCTCACATCAACTATGGCTACGAGTGTTGTGTTGGGTCCTCAAAAGAAGGAGACACTATATTGTTGCGTACAATGTAGCGTCCCGTTAATTTTTTATTTTTTATTTTTTATTTTTTATTTTTTATTTTTTATTTTTTATTTTTTTATTTTAATGATCCTAATTCAATGGACCAGGTGATTTTCAAGTTTATGCAAGAAAAGTATTGAAATTTGTAGGTACAAGAGAAAGTATACGAGGTTAAATCACATTGTCACTACACAAATGTGATGATACACAAGAAATAGATTGAGGGAGAAAAGAGACCAATATATGAAGTTCATAACTTCCAAGTTCTGCCTTAAATGCTGTAATACCCCTCTAGTTATAGTCTCAAGCACTTAGGTCATTTATCCATTTATGACGGTCCTTTATCAACCTTTTCAGACCTACATTGTCGAGTTCTCGTACTTCTTTGGATCACGAGCCAAAAATACTTTTATAATATATTTATAGTATATAATTCTCCATATATTCCAAAGACTCTGTAGCATTCAATTTTGAAACAAATAAGGGTCTGAATACTTTAAAAACTAAAGCGTCCATTTATAACTGAATTAAAAAAAAAAAAAAAAAAAAAAAAGAAAAAAGAAAAAAGAAAAAAGAAAAAGAAGAAGAAGATACTTTAGTCATTTCACATTTTTTGCTTCTTCTTCTTCATCATCACTGCCAACAACAAACATACTACCGACGATAAAGCCAATCATCACCGGCAGTTTCCACTCATTTTGGCGAGGTTGCTAAACCTTTTAGCGGCCTAGTCGATGCATGAAAGCAGCAACCTACTGCTTGTTCCTCATCAGCAGCGACCCAAGGTCGCTACCCTTCTTCTGTCGATCAACCAAGTCACCGAAGTGCGTCCTAGTGAGCACCATAGATGGTGACCCAAGTCGTCGTCCCTCTCTAGCTGTGTTGGGTCGCTAACAATGACCCAACTCCTCCACATCACGACCCAAGGTCATTGTTGTTGTGGTAATTCCACATATTTATAGAAATATATAAAGTACAATATTCATACACAATAATTCAAAATAATAAACAACAACACCGATGAATAATCAAAGAATAATTTTTCATTAAACTGAATAATACATCATTTGAACAATATGGATATAACAATGAACATGAATTTAACAAGATAAATAATTCAGTAATATAATATTAATATTAACTCAATAATATAAAATAAGAAGTAAAACAATAATAATAAAATAGCTAAGAAAGTGCTAGCCTGATTATCGAGGCATGTGTAAACACATTGACCTAAAGTTGATAATCCTCCCATTCGTGCGAGTATTGGTGAAACTAGTCAACTCCAAGATACAACCCAATCAGCTCTCAGCGGTGTCTCCTCCATGTGCACAACCATAGGAAGACTAGGTCCAAGACTATATGTGTCTAGTTGCCCACAAACTCAATAAGTAAAATACTCTCAAATACAATTTACACATATACATAAATGGAAGAGTAGAATAAAGAGATGAAAAACTATTCTTTTAAAGTCTCGCTCACACTAGAAATACGTATCCATACTTCCTCCTTTGAATGATAAACATATAATTTTATTAAAAGAGTATAACGGTTATAGCAACCTAAATAGAGAATTTAAATATAATTATTTCATCAATATAACTATATTAAACCATTGTATTAAATAGTATTTAATATAATGTGACTCAATATATAATTTATTCTATTTATTAATTTTATTAAAATATTACTCAACAATCTCCACCTATTTTAATAAAATAAGTAAAATATATAATTGAGCAATTTTATACTTTGCAATCAGTATAGGTGCTTTCTGGGCTTGAACCTACACTTAGTGTGATAGTCTTCATTTGAGGAACCTAAATGAACTAAGTCTTGAATTCGGTTCCTTGAGCCAAACTTCAACATACCACACACATAGTATTGACGATAGACTTGGTTTGGCGAGTTAGTGCGATTAATAGCCATGCGCTACTATATTGATTCTCATGAAAGCTCTAGGGAACAACCCAACTCCCACGGTCGCTACCTCACGATGACTTTCACTTAGGTGAATCCTCCAGGGGTATATGTGACCTATACCCTGCGAGAGTATGCTCGCCTCGAATTCATTCAGGGCAAAACCCTTCCTTAACGTCACATCACAACATTAATGCCATAGGGATGAGTAGGAAATAATCTCCTCGAGAAACCTCCTAAAAAGAGTGTTGTCAATGAGTCAGATTGTTTTTACCAATTGAACCTTTCGTCATGTAATTAAATCGCCAATCAGAAGGTTCGGTTACCTTCGTAGGTGACTTCCTTGGGGCTTAGGCCCATCCCCCCCGACATATATAGGACTATGTCCTAAGAAGACTCTTGGTCTTTTTAATTCTCTTTCTTTTTCTTCACAACCCAACTTTTGGGTTTTTCTTTCTTTCTCCTCAATTTTTTTTTCTTCCTTCACCCTACCACTTCCTTCTCTCTCTCTCTCTCTCTCTCTCTCTCTCCTTTTTTTCTTCCATAAAATAATTCATCACTGATAATACCTCATTGGAAAAATATTGAGATGAATACTTTTGTTAGCTTTGTTAATTGTATCAGGATAGAATGTTTAGTATATGTTTTGGTTGCAAGGTTGCAATATAGGAAGTGGTATGATAGAGATAATGCAAGCACTCACACACACACACACACACACCACATCGGATGAAAGAACCCGGACAATTCCTTGCGATCTCTCTCCGCCACACAAAATTTTAATTTTATTAAGTGTGACCAGCCATGCAAGCACACCTGTTATGGCAAAGGTCCAATTACAAAAAATTAAACACACATCTCTCTTGCTCTCTTTTTTTTTTCTTCATAAACTCTTTACACCACCTAAATCACTAAGTTATATGAATAACTACTACACATCACATATAGAGTGAAATAAGAATCATTTTTCTGAACGCATCTCTTTGTTATAAAAGTCACCATGTTATTCCAATTTGATGGAGCTGGGTATCTTTCCCTTTTCTTAATTCTTCCAAGTGTCGTATACCTCCAACAATTTCGTCAACATCATTATGGAAGTTGTTTCAAACAGAACAATAATTTTGAAATTCAGAAAATTATCCAACTTCTTGAATTTGTAAAGAGGACAATTATTTCTATGAGTAGCAGATAGAAGTTCTACTCAAGTGTAAACAGCTTCTTCTCAGATCTTTTCCACTATCGACCTTTATGCTTTCTCTTTTGGTATTTCTTATTCTGCCATTGTATTTGTATCTTGTAGCTGGATGAGAAACTCTCATCATCTTTTTTCTTGTTCCTCTTAATCAATTTTACCAAATAGGAGTATTCCATCATTTCCTCATACTTATTTGTAGTGCTGGGAATTTCTACCCTTTCTTTTCCATTTTCTTCTTCTTCAATATCTAAATTTTCCAATTCCTTCTCGAGTTGCTTCAATTTTGTAACTCTCGTGAAACCAGAAACATATTGTGTACGTGAGAAACCAATATATCATAATTTTAAAAAAAATTCATCTAATGAAAGTAATGAGATGAAGAATTTGTATATAACGAATGCACCATTAGCAACTGCATATAATCATTTCCTTCTTTAAAGATATGCAATTAGTTTCTCACTTTATAATGGTCAAAAAATTATATAGATATCCATAAATTTTCATTCAATTAAAAACTACTATATAACCTAATTTAATTAAGAAACAAATCATTTTCCATTTAAATTGCATTTACTTCTCTTTTATCGTTAGTTTATTTATCTTGTATATAACCATGGTTAATGGCAATTAATATATATATATATATATATATATATATTGAAATGACTACTAATCTCATATACACAAGGAAATTCTCTTTATTCTATATTCTGTGTAAACTAATGAAGGCAAATATCTAACATCCGTAACAGACCCTTTTAAAGTGGAAACTCTCGCTGAATAAGGTAATGCATGCTAATCTCAATTATTCTTATAATCAGATTAGACTACTTCTAAATTTTGCAATTTTCAAAACTATTCAATAAAAATAAATATTATAAGAGTCCATATCATAGCTAATTAATAATATATAATCACAAGCATCCAAAATAATATGTGTAATCAAAACATCCATATTTAAATTCCTATTTAATACTATGGTGGCTGTTTTGATTATATATTTGCAAACTTAAATTGCTACAATAAGCTATTAATTTACACAAATTAATTTTCTTAATTATTTTTCCTAACCTGTAAAATGCAGTAACCAGAAACATTAACATCTGTAGATGTTCAACAATATGTAGTGTAGCCAATAAGAGTACAAATAGTTAACAAAAGACCATGTAAACAACAAAAGAAATAAATTTATAAGAATCTATAATATAGGAAGTTTTTTTCCAAATTCAGTAATATTTCTTTTAATAATGTATAAGCATGCCATCTAAAGTAATATCCCAGATATACAGAAAACTCATGCTGCATATATATATATATATATCTTTATTTGTTTTCCAAAGATACATATTGCATATTATAAACAATTATAATAAATCAAATCAAGAAAATACCATTCAAAATATTATTAAGGAAGTATCCGCTTTAGACTGTTGCGGTAATTCCACATATTTATAGAAATATATAAAGTACAATATTCATACACAATGACTCAAGATAATTGTTAACATAATTAGGTTATATTATAGCCGTTATTTATATTGCTACCATAATTACATTATATAGCCATTGTAATAGTGATCTACTAGCCGTTTGATGTTATCCTATTTATACCTACTTTGTATCATTATCATTACAACAATTCAATATATTCTTTCATATTCTGTCTCTGTCTCTTTCTCTGCCTTTCTACCTCTATTAATCAACAATAATAAACAACAACACCAATGAATAATCAAAGAATAATTTTTCATTAAACTGAATAATACATCATTTGAACAACATGGATATAACAAAGAACATGAATTTAACAAGATAAATAATTTAGCAATATAATATTAATATTAACTCAATAATATAAATTAAGAAA